AAAGTTGGTCGAGGTCCTTGGAATAGGACACGGAACGGGACTCGAATAACATTTTCTGCAGGCAAAGCAAAAATTCAGCTGGAGCAAGAGTCTGAGTCTGGGTCTGGGTCTGATGAGGCAAATTTACGAGTATTTCCCAGTGTGTGTGTGTGTGTGTGTGTGTGCATCCATGTGGCATGTGTGGCAGACACACAAATTATATGCCACACCGAAAATTATGAAAGCGAAAGAGCAGTCGCCGCCGCTTCATTGCTTGGCTCTAAATCATTAGCCAAAAGCCATTTTATTGTAATCAAAACGAGCAGAAAATATGAGAAAATGCAGGAAAATGCAGGAAAATAATGTTTAAGGCAGAACCTGTAGAAAGTGTGATGAGAGCAGAGCGAATCACTAGGCAGAGAAGTCTCTGTTGCTGGCTGTTTTTCTTTCAGCCCGCAGCTAAGCAATTAAATGTGACTTTGTTTCCATTAATCATAAATCCAATGAAAAATTGAATTGTTCCCAAATAAAATATGTCCAAACCTGTCCCAGAAACTACACTTCCAAGCCTGAGAGAATCTTTAAGCGTATAAATATCCATATGAACCCCCCGTGTCTATGTCTAAACCCAACTTGAATATGCAACTCTTCATCTATTTGAGAGCTTGGCCATAAATACTGGCCACATTTCCCACACTTGTTTATGGGGGGGTGGGGGGTGAGATACGAGTGCTAGCCCATATATGACCTCTGCTTTGGAGTGCAGTACACTTCCTGGCACACAGCAAGCAGCCTTGCTAGTGCTTGTAATTTATAGGAACTCTTCTTGTGGCTCATTTCCATTTGCTAACATTGTGCCACTCATTCACTCTTGAGGCCAGGCGTGGCGCCTCTTCCTCGCCTCGAATGCGAATACATATACTTGTACGAATACTTGTACTCATACTCAAGATCATATCATATCGGATTGAGGTCCCAGACGCTCCCAAAAAAAAAAAAAAAAAAGAAACAACAAAACACTGGCCAGAGTCTTTCTTTCTTATTTTTATTTGTATTTTTCTCTCAAATTTTGTTGCAGTTCCCTCCCACTTTTCTCTTTTTGTTTTCCTTCTTTTTTTTTTGCAGTCAGAAATTTAGACATTTTGTAGCCAGTTTATAGATGGGGTATATGGATGGGGGGGGCCTGTCAGGCGGCTCCACCGTCCCAGCAACTGGCGGTGGGTAGGGGCCGCTCTCCCCGTCTCAATCTTCACAATTTCCGAGGCCTGTTTGGTTTTCGCCCATAATTTTTGTGCCGTTTTACAACAAACGGGCACATAACTCCCAGTGCGACTCGTCGACCGAAGAACCTCCTCTCTGGGGTCCAGTCCAGTCCCGTCGGTATGTCTGATTGTCGGCACATCGCCCGTCGCACCGTCGCCCCGTCGCCCCGTCGGCCCGTTGCCCGGCTTATCTGTCGGCGCCAAATGCCCCAATGCCCCCATACTCCTGTGGCCTGTGGCATGGTGCAAAATGATTTTCACATGTTTTCCTTTATTTCTCTCTCTCTCTCTCTCTGTGTGTGTGTGTGTTGGTGTTTTTTTTTTTTCGCACTTTTCGTTGGCTTTTTGCATGAGTTTTCACCCGTCGTCGATTCCCATTCTTCCATTGGCATTTCCATTCCCCATTTTCTAACCCAAAAAAAAAACAAAAAAAAAAATATAAAGAAAAAGAAAAAGAGAAGCGAAGCAGAGAGTGTTCCAACGGAGTGTTTGGCTTTTAATTAAAATTGCAGCTAAATTATGAACTTTTCTTTTCTCGACCGCCTGCAAATTTTCTTCAGCTGTGGGTCTGGGTCTCCGGGCCATCGTCTGGGCCAGTGCCTGTGCCTGTGCCTGTGCCTTCCCGATCTCCAATCTCTGGCCGTATATCAAAAGAGCATTCTCTTGCCGTGAGATGTGCAAATTGGGGTTTCGAGTGAGAGAAACATTGGTGGGGGTGGGGGGCTGCTAATGCTAATGCCAATGTGTTTCTGTGTGTGTTTTCCACAAATCAAATGAACTGTAAAGAAAATTCGCGTTAAAATGCGTTTTATTGTTTCCTCCTCTCCAAATTATGTTGATTGAGTGCTGCCCCTGCCCGCTGCCCCTTCCCCGTACACCGTTTCGTTTGGTTCTATAACATTTCGACATGCCTCAGTAAATCCCGCACTATATATGGCGGGGATTATACATACTGTGCCATCGGCACACCGGAGATACAAATTTTGTATTTGTTCCACTTTTGAGGCTAATTTTGTGGCTGGCTTTTTGTTCACAGTTCACTGTTCGGTTGAGGTTTGAGGTTCTTTTCTAATTGTCTGCCAATGGAATGGAATTTATGTGCGGGGGCCCAACCAACCAGCCAACCAGCCAACCAGCCATTCATTTCGATTGGGGCATGCGACTCATTTACAATGCGTGTCAATGGCAACAACAGAGAAAGAGACAACGTGCCCCCAGGGTCAGACAGTGCGAGAGGGCGGGAGAGTGCCAATGGCGGAGCAGGAGAGGAGGAGGTGGAGTGGCGAGGCGGCATCTTATTATTATCATTATTGTTATCATTAAAAGTGATATGAGCAAACAGCGACAGGACAACAGGCAGAGAGCCACAGCCAGAGCCAGAGCCCTGCCTCTGCCGCCTGACAAAAGGTTCGCCTTCATAAGATTCATATTGATGCGAACGGACAATGACAATGGCAATGGCAATGACAATGGCATTGCAGATGAGAGCTGAGAGCGGAGAGATGCCAAATGGAGATGAGTATGAGAATGCCAATGCGAATGCGAATAAGATGGAATTCTCGAGTGAAGCAAAAACAGAAACAGCCAAAGAACGAACGGAAAATGCTCTAAGAAATCAGATACAGCAGAAATCAGCAGATGCAACAATTAAGCGAAGCTCGAAGCGAAATATAACGAATAAATATTCTATAAATTTTAAATCAAATTTGAACCCAAAGAAAAATTCAACGATTTCTTTGTCTCTGTCTCTGTCCCTTCAGCCTTCAGCCTGCCAATATTCTATAATATATATTGCCACATGATCGTTTATGAACAAGCACTTTCTGCTCCAGCCCCATAATTCCATTTGGCCAATGCCAATGCCAGACCTAAAAGTCGTTATGCTCGCTGGCTTTGCTTGGTCTCTGCTCTGCCGCCCCAACCACCTACTGCCTGTCCTGCCTTGGAGAGAGACTTCAGAAGAAGTCGAGTGTCAAGTAAAAATAAAATTCATTTTAATTTGTGCAACGACCACAACGAGAGAGCAACGACAACGACAACGACAGCGATGAGGCTGAGAATGAGGATGAGGATGAGAATGGGGATGAGGTTGAGGAAGACAACGATGACGACAATATGTGTGTGTGTGTATGAGTCTGTGTGTGTGTGTGTGTTTGCGGGGGTAGCACATGTTGTGCGCCTGCTGCAAGGATAAGGTTCGTCGATAAGTATTCCAAGGATCGTCCGGGCCTGTGTGTCCTGGTACTGCTCCAGCTACTGGCTCTAGCTCCTGTCTCAGTGTCTGCTCTTGGTGTCCATTGTTGCTGCTGTTGCTGCTGCTGCTGTTATTATTTGCCAAATAAACGGACAGACGGACGACCGTTCGCGTTGTCATAGCCGGGAAGTTGCCCCTTGCCCCCCCCCACCAGAACATCTCCTTTTGTTGTCAGGCTCTGCTACGTCGTTGTCGTCGTTGTCGTCGATGATGCAGACATAAGATATGAAAAATATGAGGCAACAGCAATCACAATAGTCGCACCAGTCGCACCAGCCAGGGCCCTGCTCCCCAAGGGCCTCCACACAGCACACAGGCGCTCATGCGTGCGCCCTGCGTGCGCCCTGCGTGGGCATCGATGGACAACCCCCCCCATTGCCAAGCCCAATGTGTGGGTGCTACTGTCTCTGTGTGTGTGTGGTATAAATCACGCTTAATGCCCTCAGCCAGTGGATAGACACATATGGAGGGAGCTGAATGCGAAAGGAAACTCCAGGGACGACCATAAATTGCAGTCAAGTGCTGCCAATTAGTTGCTAAAATTATTTTATGATATTGTCCAACTAATTAAATGAACATTAGGGGGCACCTTCGAGTGCCCGTTCTGGAAATTGTGGCCAAAAATCAATAGCAACAACAACAACAAAAAACAAAAAACAAACAAAATAAATATCAAACGAAGGGTAGCCCCCGAACACCACCAATGGACCCAACATCCATCGTATCATCTCTGCCCTTCTGCATTAATAAATCCCCACACTCGCCCGGTTTCCAACAATTTTCATCAATCAAGGCAACAATAATCAATCATAGACAAATACAGGAGCCAGCCACACCCCCCACACCCCACACCTGTCCAGAAAATAGAACACGTAACAATTTCCTATGATTATTAATTATTAATGACAAAACGAATGGCGGCTAAGCGGGGCTACGTGGACGTGGGGTGGCCTGCCATTAAATGATTAGGTTTCTTCAGCTTCACTGACCCGCACTGCAGGCTCCATGGAGCCACAGCTCCCCTCCTGCTGCTCTGTTGGGGCCATCCTTAAGGATATCTGACGTCTCTCCTGCTGCTCAAAGGCTGCTGTTTGTGCCAGAGCAAGCGGCTTAAGCTCGTTAGCCAATCACTACAATTTGGTAGCAGCGATGAGGAAAACTGTTTACGCTCAAACTGGAGCTGGGCGCACCTAATTGAGTACAGTTGTGCCTGGAAAATAGGTCAGCTGTGCAGGGAAAGTGTATATAATAAGAGGAAAACTGTAAACAAGATAACGAGTGCTCTGTGCAGCTTTAACTTTCAATTGAAGTCACTTAACCTTCGCTCGTGACATTTTTCGCTTACTTTAAACACTAGATATACGAGTATATATATGTGTGTGTACATAATGTACGTATGCATAATCGTCGTACTCCTTATGATTTATTTATAGCACATAATAAAATGTATTCCATTCATATTCTAACCGAATGTATTTCTTTGCTCTCTTTCTCTCGTGTGTCAGTGTGTCAGTGCAATGGACACGCCCGTCGCTGTCGCTTCAATCTGGAGCTCTACAAGCTGTCCGGTCGGGTGTCCGGAGGCGTGTGCTACAACTGTCAACACGATACGACAGGACGGTATTGTCACTACTGCCGCGAGGGCTACTATCGGGATGCCACCAAGCCGCCAAATCATCGCAAAGTCTGCAAACGTAAGTCCCCCGCCCCCCTCGTATCCTATTCCCATTTCATATAAATAGATTGAATCAGACAGCTGAGACAGCTCAGTGGGAGGGACGGACTCCCAACCCCCCTCCCTCCCGCCGGTTGTGCGGAATTGGAGTATTCCTTGATATTGATAATAAGCTGTCATCAATCAATCAGTGGTCTGTCTGATGGTAGCTGCCAGATGGATACAACTCATCTATGAACGAGATGGCAAAGGCAAAAAAAAGAACTCTCCGCTAATGAGGATGTTGTTTCCGTTTCTGTTTCTGTTTCTGGTTTAGGTTGCGACTGCCATCCGGTGGGATCCACGGGCAAGACCTGCAATCATCTGAGTGGACAGTGCCCCTGCAAGGAGGGTGTCACCGGTCTGACCTGCAACCGCTGTGCCCGCGGCTACCAACAGACGCGCTCCCATGTGGCGCCCTGCATCAGTGAGTGCCAACAGATTCCTCCTATCCTCCTATCCCACTATACATATACCGGATCCTTCTCTAACTTTTGTTTCTACTTCTTCTGCTGCTGCAATTAACAGAAGTGCCCACCAACGCGAACATGATTCAGGCCGAGAGCGCTGGCGGAGGCGGTGGCGGTGCTGGCAATGGCGACTACAAGGAGGGCGGCGGCTCCCAGGCCGAGGAAATGAAGAAGTGTGAGTACACTCAAAGAAAAACGCTTCGATTCCTCACCATATATGTATATCCATATCTGTATGTGTCTAATTCACAGATTGCGGCAAGTGCAAGGCCAGTCCCAAGAAGCTAAATCTAAACAAGTTTTGCATGGAAGATTATGGTAAGTACGCCCCTCTCTCTCTCTTTATAACCTTTTTTCCTATACATTCTCTTGGCATAATTACAGCCATTTTGGCCAAGGTTATTGGCCACGATCGCGCCTCTCAGGACATCAGCACGGAGAAGTTCTCGATCGAGCGACAGAACGAAATCTACAAATACGAAATCAATATCCAGACGATCTTCAAGCGGAATCCCATGTCGGGCACGACCAGCTCCCTGCTCGGCCGTGGCAATATGATGCTGCTGGTGCCGCGCAAGAGCATCGAGTGCCAGTGTCCCAAAATCAAACTGAATAAGTGAGTAATCCAGTAGTAGCATGGGAAATATTTAGGGGTATCTATGTATGTACATATACCTTCGTTTGTAAGAGAAACGTGCAAGGTTCTATGCCCATTTATTCAAGCTCCGCTGATAACTGTTAATTCCGTTGCTAATCCACATCCACTTGCCCTTGAAGCGATCCTCTCTTCAGTTTGGCATACTCTCCTCCTCTCTCTCGCTCTCTGCCTGTGCTGCTCTCGCGCTGAACGAGGCGTCGGCAGCGGGTTCGTTCGGCTGCATGTGCCGTTGAGCATAACTAAATGCTGCTGCAGCGCAGCTGGCTGCATCGTTTAGGCAGCGCTTTGATTGCGCTCTCAATTTGCGCTCTCATTATGTTGCTCTCTCGCATGCAAACGAAATCTAACTGTTGTTTTGCACTGAGCACCGTGGGCGCTAGGTAAGGCAGCTCGCTCTACGCTCTCTCGCTCTCTGAGTTGATGAGCATGCTGGCATGTTCTTTCTCGACCTGTTTCTTCTCCAAAAATTTTGAAGAGGAAAGCAAAAACAGTTCTGTTTGCGTAGTGCAGGGCGCTGGCGCTGACTGCCTTACCCCACAGTTAATAAACCTTGCGCTGGGCCCCAGCTCATTGCTCTCTGAGCATACCGGACTTCAAATCAAATCTAAAAGTTGTCTCTTCTGATTTTGCTGTGCCCGTGCCTCAACTGAGTTGTTTTACTATTAATCTAACATCGCTCTTATCCGCTCTATTTGCATTCACAGATCATATCTTATACTTGGACGCGATTCGGAGGCGGCGCCTGGATATCTGGCCATCGGTCCCAGCTCTGTGGTGTTGGAGTGGAAGGACGAGTGGTCGCTGCGCATGAAGCGCTTCCAGCGGCGGGCCCGCAAATGCAGTTGAATCGAACCGGAAACGGAATATGTCAGAGCGGATTTCAATTTCATACACTTGGCTAGGTATCGGTTTTTGTATAAATTGTACAGTTTACTCAAGTTTCTGACCTTCTTCGGCATCATGCTATAAATTAATCAAAACTCAAAACTCAAAACTCAACACTCAAAACTCAAATCTGCCCCCAAAAAATATAAGAAAAAAATACACACACAGAGAGAAACACTGCTAAAACATCCTCAATAGAATCTTTGGCGTTCAGCCAATGATTATTAATTATCTCAGCATAATCTTCCTTTCTGGGGGCATTTCTCTAGTCTATAAAATGATTTTACAAACCGAAAATAATTACGTTACTCCCTTTTAATAGAACAACAACAAAAAAAATACCAAAATGCTAATTACAGTTACGTGACATCGAAAGTGGTTGGATGAGGGTGGGGGGGATGGGCCTGGTGGCACAGTGGAATGCAGGCCATAAAAAACAGTTATAAATTGAACAACACAACAATAACAACAACAACAAAAAAAAAAGCAAAAACAAGTGCGAAAAACGTTCAGACGTTGCGTGTCGCGAGGCCACCATCAGACCCCATCAGACATACAAACAAACGGACAACGAACAGCTGGGGGGGACGGACAGGACTGTGGGGAGAGAGTGCGGGGCGGGGGCATAGACAAACAGGCCATAGTCAACACATAAGTGCAGTCATAAACCAACAACATGAGCCTTGACCAGCGTTACCAGATGGCGGCAGGCTTCCACACACATCACACACACACACAGAGTTTATTAGGGGCACTCGACCGAATGGGGCACACGGAACACGGAGCGAAGCGAGCCAAAAGTTGGTCAAGGAAATGTGTTGGGAATTTATGCGAATTTACTGCGGGATTAAAGTTTCCATTGTGGGGCAAGAGATACGCTATACGCTGCAGATGATACCAGTTGATAGTGATTGGAATACGAACTGGAGTGGAACACTTAACAAAGAGATCTTAATCTGCTGCTAATGATGCTAAATAAAATGGAACACTTAAAGCAGATCTCAAGCCTCAGTTGATGATCAGCAATAAAAACAACAAAATTAAATACAAAGCAGAATTGATGTAAAAGATTGCTTTAACAAAGATTGATACAACGCATAAGAAAACTAAAGCAAAGCGAAATAAGATAAAGCAATCAATTTCCATGTTAATTATTTTGAACTTCAATCGAGCAGCATTTTCCACGTTAGACTTTGATCCATTAAGATTATCCACAATAGTTTCAATGCCATGAAGCGGAGTACCCCCAAACGCTTTTACTTTTTTATATTTTAATCTCAGTTTTCAGCATATATGCCATTCATTCTCTCAAGCAAACATTGATTCCATTTTATGATATTTGCCAAATTGCTTTTTTAATATTTAACATTTGTTGCTGCCACCCCCACGCCATGGCTCTTCTTTTGTTTTGTGTGAAACGTTTTAACGTTATCCATTCCGGTTTTTGTTGGCTGGCTGGCTGGCTGATTGAAAAGCGCCTCTCAAGAATTTATGCAAACAAAGTTTTTGCTGTTAATTATGCACATGTTTATTGACAATTTACTAGTTGATTTTTCACGCGCCTTTGCATAACAATTTGTTTGATGAATGCATCAATAAAATGTCAATTCAAGCGCCGTTTCACCATCAAACACCAAACAGCAACAGCAACAACGCAGCAACAACAGCAGCAACAACAGAAAAAATACTCATTTAAAATGCATTTATTTGAATTTAATATTCAATTTGAATTATGCATGCAAATTGCCTTGCTCTGTCCCACTCTCTCTCACTCTCCCACTCTGTCTGAAGCTCAATTTCATTCGATCTGAGTGTGTCTTTTTCTAAAATTAAAGACAGACAACAAGAGACAGAGAGGGAGTGAGAGTGAGGGTAAAAGATTGATCGTCGCATAGGGCTTTGAGGGGGCAGAGTAACTTTGTAACTTGTTTTCCAGCATATGTGTGTAGGCCATGGAGCACTTGAAGCGTCCGAAAACTTATTTGTGGGGGAACCTCTTCATACAGTGATAGCTCGATGGATCAGTTACAGGTTACACGTAAAGGTAGAGGTTTTTCCTACAGAAAAATGTTTCATTCCCGCTTAGCTGGTTGGCACTGTGCCAGCGCGATATGCATCAACGAAACAACAACAGACAACATGGTTCCACACGTTACACAAATTACAATAAAAGCAAACAGAGAGCGGTGAGGAGAGCGTGATATGGGGAATGAACTTCGTGGGCTGAGGCCTGAGCTAAGCCCCCCTGCGTTCTACCCTCCTCGAACGATTGCAGTTACATTTTTGTTTCCCCCCCTGGCTGGCACGCGGATTAAACATGTTTCGAACTGAACTCAAAATGTAACATGATATATGACAGCCAAGTGTCGAACTTGATAAATGTTTTAATGAATTTATTTTCATGTTTATGTTCTGCCTGCCTGTCCAATGTCCGCTCCGTTCGCTGTGTCAGCCATCCAGCCTGTCCAGTGTGACTGAATCGAGATCTTTGGGACACACCGTCAGAGGTGCGAGACACCTACTCTGGCCAGCCGATTGCCTTGCTGGCTGTGGGGCCTTTTGTTGCCGTTGCCATTGCCATTGCCATTGCCAGTATGATGTGTCTGATGGCTGTCGCCTCATGCCCATTCCCCATTCCCCATTACCATTGCCATTCCCGTGATGGCTCCCCTCCAGAGCCATTTACCATTCACAAGTTATTCAGGTCCGACCATGACCATGATGTATGATAAATCAAAATGGGGGCAACATATGCAGGGACTGTCGGACAGTGGGACATTGGGACAGTGGAACATGCTGCCGCATTTAAGCCGAGATTTTTGTTGGCATTCACTCTCCGCCCAGGGACGCATAATTAGCCGTGGCCTTCGGTCCGCTTTATGGTTATGGTTCTGCATCTGCATCTGGCTCTGGTTCTGCTTCTGGCTCTCCGCTGACCAACATGGCGTATGAGTCATAAACACACGTGTGTCCACCACAGACACGGCCGTGGACACGGATGGGGACATGGACATGGACATGGACATGGACCCTGACATGGACACTCTTTTGGACAGGGAAGGGGAGTGTGTGTCCTCGAGCAAGATAAATGCAAAATTGTCAACTGTAAACTGTATAAATTTAAACAAAAAAAAAAAAAACATTTTTATGTGCGTTACCCCCGCCCAATGGCTGTGCAAAAACAGTTGGTACACACATACTCCAGGGGGAAAGGTTTGCAAGGGGGTGACGAAGAGGGGAGAATGGGTATAGGCTAGGGGAGTCTACCTTCTATTTCATTAGATATTTTTCATTTCAGAAATAGTTTCCCTAATTGTCTGAGAGCCATTGCCATCGAAGAGCTTCAGCCAATACTTGCAAGTATTTCTGCAAAATCTTTCCCCCTTATAGTCGTTTTTTTCCGCGAGTATCTTTCCTCTAACTATCGCCTATGGGTCATAGAACATTCTGTAATTTGCGCCTATCCATAGTACACATCCACATCCCATAAGAGTACCAAACGTCCATTGTTTGCCTTCATTAATAGATCTTGTCACGTCTGCCCCGGGAAATACTCGTAAGCCCTTTACCTGCACAGAAAAAAGGCATTAAATAAATGTCGAAAAAAGTGCGATTCGGTGGGAAAACAACGGCCAAAAAAAAGAAGCGAGTAAATGGGGGAAATTCAATTGCGGGTTCCATCGCGTGGCGCTGCCGACTGTTGCCGACTGTGGCCGGCTGTGGCTGCTGCCTGCCTGCCTGCCTGCCTTCATGCATATTTAAATGAGATTTTGCGTTAACTGAATTTTGTCAACGTGCGGCAGGGCCGGTAGGGGGGCGTGGCCAGTCGGATATGAAAGTATGTGTGTGTGTGTGTGTGTGTGTGTGTGTGCGGGGGCGTATGGCCATGAAAAAGCATATTAATTTATATACACATATGAGAATACACGCGTATAAAACATTTATATATATTTAAATAAATTGGGTTTTGGCTTTCTTCTGTACGTCTCTTTTTTTGTATTATTTTATTTCGCTGTTCATTAAACGAGTGACGTGAGGGGGGGAGTTATAGGGAGCATGGGGCAACGATAGGCGTGGCAATGGGCGTGTTGTCGCATATGTATTTTAAATAGGGATGCCAGAGCTCCATTAGCATATAAATTGATGCGACGATGATGGCCCTGCAGATGGAGTGACATTCTCTTCTCTCACACACATTACATGACATGTTGGACAGGGGCGGGGACAGGGTTGGGACGGGGCGGGTCGATTACGTAACTGTATAACTAGCATTCTGGTAACAAAAGATTTTCAATATGCCCACCAAAAGAACCTAAACAAAAACAAAAAGCAAAAGCAAAAACAAACAGTATATAGCACCCAAAAATCGACTGCAAGAACAACAAGAACATAAGCAACAACAACAGCCCCAAGCTGACAAATTGACTTCCGTTTCCGCAACAACAGAAAAAAAAAATGATAAAAAATTAAAAAAAAAAGTAAATACTCTTTGAGAGAAAGAAAGAGCGAACGAAGGAGAGAAAGTACTTAAAAAATACTAAAAAAAAAAAGAAAGAATTACAACAACAGCAGCAGCAGCACGTAAGGAGCGTGGCAGAGGAGATGGAGACGCAAAAACATAACCAAATTAGTCATTAGTCGATATGTCAAGCAGTTTATTTATTTAAACCACATTTTTTTCCTAATCTTAACGATAAATGAATATATAAAACATACAAGTAAACGGATAAATGATAAAGGATATATGCAAAATGGATATATACACTGTATTTATATATATGTTACGAATGGAAAGGAAAAGAAAAAAGAAGATCGGCGATCGGAGATCGAAGTTTCGGTAGTGCATTCTTAGAGAACATTTCCCCCACCCCACCCCACCCCCACCACCTACCATAAATTCGTTTGTATCCCATATTGTATGCCTTATGCATATTCTGTACTAATCGCACATATCCTTCAACACACAAGAGAATGAAAATTAATTAATTATATAATAGAATGTTTTTTGTTTTTTTTTGATCGTCTAACTAATACGAATATATCCAGTGTGTGTGTTTGTCCAGCAGAAAGAATTATTCATATGATAAGCTATATACATACATATATATATCTATAGAGTGCATACATACGCACATACATATAAACATAATCAAAAACACACACAAAAACAAAACAAAACAAAACAAAGCGACACACAAGAAAAGAGAAAGCCTTTTTTTCTTAGAATTTTTGTAAATACTCAAAAAAAAAAACAGCAGAAGGAAGCAGTTGAAGGGGAGATCAAAAGGTAATACAGAAATGATATCAATTTTGATTATTGCTAGATATTTTGTTGAGCCACGAAACATAAAGAAAGAAAAAATACTTACTGCGAAAAGAACAAAAAATAAATAAAATGCGTTGCATGCGGCAGAAGAATTCACATTGTCTGATATTAAAGTATTGTAGTTGGTACTTATATAATATATAAAAAATCTATATATATATATACACACATATATATACATTAACATATGGATTAATCATAATTATACACACACACACACACAGCACAGTAAAAAAAATATATGCAATTTTTGTGTGTCAAGCGGAAAACAAGAACTACATAAATATATCAAAGACAAGCAGTTGGAGCCACCGACTCCAAGTTATATATACAAAACAAAACAAAAAAACAACAAAAAAAAACAAGCAAAAACAAAAGAAAAAATATATATATATATATGTATATCATTTATGTGTACTTGAAAAAGTAAAAAACCGAAAAACAAGCAAAAACCAAGCATGAAAGTTTAATCGAATTAAGTGGACAAATTGCTAATAATAATACAATAATAATAAAAATAATAACAAAATCAAATGCGAACGATTCTTATTATTTGTGGGTATAGATCTATTGGGGATATACATATGTATGCAGCTGAAAGGGTAAGTTTTTCCACTTGGATGTGCAATATTTTCTATATATTTTCTATCAACATTTAATACTTAATTAAGGCTGCACCTTCCACTGGCTTGAGGGGTTTCTAGTTGAACCTGAACCTGGTTAAACATGCAAAAATTTAGATAGATACCCAAAATGCATTTATTTGGGTACATTTTTGTGTCTACAAAATATGTAGCACACTTTTGCGCTGCTTGATGAAACTAATTTAGCTTTGGCTGAATCTGAATGAATCTCACCTGTGCCAACAAGCAGCGGCATCAGCTTCATTCCATCTTTATTCTGTAAATTAATTCCCAATTAAAATTAAGCAGCGTTCAACAAAACTGCGACGACTACGTACGCTCCTGCTGTGAGCTCTGGAGTCCATTCCGAGTCCATTCCGAGTCCATTCCAGCATCAGCACATCTTATTGATTTTGCATTTGCATAAGCAGTTTATTGTGCCAGACACCAACCCAACTCTGTCTGTCTGTCTGTCTGTCTGTCTGTCTGTCTGTCGTCTGTACTTTGCCCAAGTTCAAGTTCTAGTCGTAGTCCTGGGGTCCTACGAGCAGTCCTGCAGTAGTGCTGCATAATCGCACTTTTGGGGGTTCGGAAATCTCGGCACGGCACTCGACACCACTCAACGCATAGAAAAGGGCGGAGCTCTGGCCGGGAGAAAATTAATTTAAAGCGCAATTTAAGTAAAATTTCCGCCCGGGGGCTGTGTTTTTTTTTTCTTCTTTTTTTTTTTAGTTTTATTTCGAGCTTTGCCTCTCATTTCTCGCCCAGCCGTGGGTCTTGCGAGCCGGCAACTGAAACTAATATGTACGCATATTTATCAAATTTCATCGCCTCGGGGCTTGGCAATGGGCTGGAACTGGGCTGGAACTGGGCTGGAACTGGGGGTGGCTGCTGCTGCTGTTGCATCCGTGCCTGGGTTCGTTTGCGGGTCCGGGTCCGGGTCTCTGCCCAAAATGTACATTCATTGTAGTTGCCCAAAAAATGCCTTGCAGCGTTCGAGTTTCGGCTGTGGGGTGGGGAAGAGAAATGGGGATGGGGATGAGTCGGAAAAGAGTCGGAAGTCGACCGCAATGCAAAGCTGCGGACCAAGTTTTTGGTCTGGCAAACTTAACAAAGAAATACAAAATACAAAAAAAAAAAACGAAGAGCAGAGAAGTAAGTGCCGTAGCATGTCACTGGCTGGCTGATGGACGGGCGAATACCCTGGCAAATGGAATTCCATTGAAATTCACGAATATTAAAGCTGATTAAATGTAGAAAGAAAATGGCATAGAAATGGAAATAGAAAATTCTGCGATCTTCCACTGGGTAGCAGGCGCCCTGCAAAAAAAATAATTCAAGCTACGCGGAGTGGCGAGGTGGATGGGCTCGGCTCGGCTCGGCTCATGGGCCAAGGACTGGGGCCCGGTCTCGGCGTTGTCCTGGCAATGTGCAAGGGACAAAAGCAGCAAAACGCGACGCGTCGCGACGCGTCTGTCAGCGGCAGACAGTGGCACAACAAAATCCCCCTTTTAGCCATGCCATCCCCCTGTGCCCCCGCCCCCTCACGACCGCTTGCACGCTTCATAAGCGCAGCGAATGAATTTTAATTTGATTAAAGTGAAAAATTGAAAAATGCTTCCGCCCCCCTCCCACGGCCTGCCACCCAAAAGCTTTCACTCTCACTTTCCACCAGGACTTTATTAAATGTGCTGTGCATAGGGGGGTGGGCTGTGCAAAGATATGACGGGGATTAGTTGGCCAATCAGCGGCGGCAGGCAACTGGGATTGGGGATTTTGTGGCCTGCTGCACAACCTCATCAGCGCTTTGGGCTTGTGCCTGTGCCTGTGCCTGTGCCTGGGTTGCCATGGCTAGAAATGCCAAATGCCAAATGCCGATTGACGACCAAACCCACAGACCCACAGACCCACCCCCCCCGCCAGCACTGCCACCCACCACCACAAGGCAGAGATATCCAGCAGAAGGAAGGAAGACTCACACACAGAAAGAGGTGAGGAGGCGGAAGGAGAAAGGAGAAAGATGGAGACGGAGATGGAGATGGAGAGCTTAGGCCGCATTAAACCTTTTTCCTCAATAATGTTGTTTTTGTGCTCCCCTGCCACCCCTGCCCCCCCCCCTGCCCATCCCTGACAACAGCTCTCAAAGGCTCTTTCATTCTGGTTGGGGCAGGACAGGGCAGGGCAGGGGGGGGCGCTACTTAGCCCCAGCTAAGAAGCATTCTCGTTCTGGTCGTCTGCTGGAATTACGCCGCTTGGATTTCAAGTGCTGCCACTTGTTGTTGCAGCAAATGTTACACAAAAGTTACAGCAGCAGCCCAAGCCCAGGAGCAGCCCAAGCCCAGGACTCGCTCTACTTCCCCCCTCGGATCACAGGCACCAAAGATCCAGAACAGAACAGAACAGAACAGAACTGCGGTTCCATAGTTGCAAGTTTTGCCGGGGGGGTTGGGGGGCCGAAAGCCGTAGATGCCAGTCGAGTATAACAGAATTTTGCACTGAACCCTAAACGAGGGGCGGTGCTAGCTGGCTGGCTGGGTGGAGGGGGTGGGTGACATCCACATGGGATGGTGTGTGGTGTGGTGGGGGAGGAACGCGCATTGTGAAGTGCAAAAAAGGCGCATTTTACAAGATTTTTATTACATATAAATGCGAAAAGTATTAAAAAAGTAAACTTTTTATAGACTTTTCATTTTCTCTCGCTTTTCCAAGGGGGGTTCGGGGTTGCCAGGGGGGTGGGGTGTTGGTTGCGCAACGAAAAAGAAGTTGTACGCTTTTCGTCTGGGCGTCATGATGCGTGTTAAGGGAATACACTCAGCACTTTGCCCTCAAACATTTGCACAGTGAACGGCAGCCCAAACCCAAGTCCAAGCCCAGGCCCAGGCCCAGGCCCGTACGCCTTGCTGTTTCCCATGGAAATGCCTTTGCTTGTGGCCACAACCAGCACACGTACATAGTGTGTGTGTGTATGCAGTGTGTGTGTGTACATAGATGCGCTACATTCAGCGAGGAAGATCAATTCAATTATAGCAGAGACAGCGGCCCAGCAGGCTGCTCAGCACAGAAGTATGCAGCAATTTTTGCAACATTTCCATTGCCTACTTTTAGGCAGTAAATTAAATGCCAGAGCGTGATGTTTAATATGCAAAAATGTACCCAAATCCATGCAAAAATGTACCCAACGAATAGAATATTTATTTGATTTGATTTAAAATTTAATTAAGATTTATTTTACAGTGAAAATTCCGCTGGCATTGGATATTACTCCACCCCCAAATGGTTATATTCATGTGTGCAGAAATATGCCAAGTCGAGTTACCACTGTGCCAGAGCGGACTGTCCGCCATTACAGCGACTTTCGGTGCCGCTTCAGCCGAATGGCAGCCGCAAAAATCTTTGCTACAACTCCTACAAAAACTCCTTCGCCTCTGGCGCTCCTTTTTTATGCTCCTTTTTTCGCCCTTCTCATTTTTCTTTAGACGTTTTTTTTTGCAACTGGGGGGGGAGTTGTTGTTGTTGCTGCTGTAATTGTTGCCAGTGGCATGGGAACACGTAGCCGTAGCCGTAGCCATGTCGATGTCGAGCTGCTTTCGCTGTTGTAACTGCTGTTCAAAATGTTTTCCAGTTTTGCAGCCACAGACTTTTCATATTTTTCTTAACAATTTTCTTGCACCCACAACCCCACAACCCCCCCCCCAAAACGGACCACACTTCAGCACACACTTTTAAAATTTTATTTTATTACTATAACAAGACATAAGTAGGCATAATGGAGACCCATAAAATATTCAAAGGCAAATTGGCATAGAAAGTTTCTCCTGCCCAAGGCACATATTTCGGGTTTTTTTTTTTTTGGCGCTCAAGGACCCAGGCCAGGCTGGCAGCAAGGAGCGCGTGTTAAGCGATTAACGGTGTTTCAGCAGCCTCCCCTAGGGGCGGCGGAGCAGGTTGGGGTGTTACCAGAATTTACTCCACTCTGAGCGGAGCGGAGTGGAGTGGAGGTGTTGCCACTTGTCTGGGTTTGCCCCCTGCCCTCCACAGCAGCCAATTCCCCATTCCCCTGCCCGCTGACTGTCAATCATTTTCACAAACGATTTGTCAGGCAATGCAAATAAGCAGCGACATACCCAGGCCCAGGCCCAGTCCCAACCCCAACCCCAACCCCAGGCCCAGTCACAGCCCCAACCCCAACCCCAGGCCCAGCCATAGCCCCAACCCCAGGCCCAGGCCCAGTGGCTTTTCCATGATTTTTTACAACTTTTCATTTTCGCAGTTGAGCGGCTTTAACTGCCGCAAAATCTCAGCGCCTTGAGCTAAAACCAGGGATTAGGGCGGAGGCAGCATATGTGGCAGGCAGGCAGCCAGTAGGCAGATAGCAGGGGGGGGGGCCTGCGCCACTATTCAAATCGCAGCAAAGCTCCTCCCTTAAATGGCTTGGAAAATATGCTTGCTTTTGGCAGGCGTTTGTTTGTTTGTGTGTTTTATTGGACGGCGGCTGAGCGCTTCTTGAGCACCCGCAGCCGCGAGTAGACGATGTCCCAGTCGAGATAGGCGCCCACAATGTAGCGCGAGTTGTGCTCGGTGTCGTCGTAGCCGGTGCGGCCGTGCAGCAGCCGGATGTTGTTGAAGGTCAGCACATCGCCGGGCCGCGTCTTGAACGCGTGCGCATCGTCGCGTGCGAGCCGCACAAAGCGGCCGTACGACTCGTACCAGGGCTCCACCTCCGCCAGGGGCACACTGAAGTGGCTGTCCCGCTGCGGTACGCTGTGATTGATGCGCGTGTACTTGCCCTCGGCATCCAGGCTGCAAGACAGAAAACAGGGCAAAATGTTAGCCAGGATCCACAAGGGATGGGGGACGGGGATGGGGACATGGGGCATGGGGCTTGGGCTTGGCTCACCAGATGACGGGCGCACGCCAAATGTTGTGGAACTCGCGGCCATCCTCGCTGCCAATGTCGTTCCAGTCGACGGGCACGCGGCAGAGCCGCTCAAAGTCCGCGGGCCGCTCGCCGCGCAGCCGGTCGGCAATGTGAAAGGCGTCCACGAGGAGGTTGCTGCCGCCCGGCGAGGCCGTCTGGGTGACGCAGTGCAGGATGTTGACGCTGGGCTTGTACTCGTAGTAGGGCAGGTCCGTGTGCAGGGGCAGCGGCAGCGAGAGGTAGGCAAAGTTCTGGGCGCCCGGCTTGGCCTGCACCACGAACTCCTCCCCGTAGGTGGTCCGCCGTATGAAGCCGACGCGCTCCGCCAGCCGCCGCACCACGCCCCCGTCCAGCGGCGCATCGCGCAGCAGCGCCACCCCGTAGACGGCCAGCGCCTGGAGCCACTGCTGCAGTGCCGCATCCTCCGCCATCACCTGGCCGTAGTCAAAGTGGCGCGCAATCCGCTGGAACTCGGCGCCCGCCCAGTGGCGCGTCGCCGGCCGATAGAACTCGTCCAGATACGCCCGCTGGCGCCGCCCGTCGAAGCTGCGCTGCCGCAGCCAGTCCAGCGGGTAGCTGCTCTCGTGTGCATCGCTCCAGCGGACGTGCAGCTGCTGCTGCTGCTGCTGGCCGGCGGCCTGGTCCGTGCGCACGCCGACCGGCCGCACCCGCGTGTCGAAGCTGTCCCAGTCGAGGCGTCGCGACCTGGAGCTGCCGTGGAAGCATTCCGTGCAGCGGCAGTTGTCGCGCAGCCACACGCCCGGAAAGGTCATGGCTTCAGCCTTCCCTCCGACTCCGACTCCGGCTGCACCACGATGCTTGTTCCTTGCACAATCCTGGCGCTGAGGTGTCGCCTGCACTGCCCCTGGCCGTGCCCGTGCCCGTGCCCGTGCCCCAGGACGCGGCCGAGTCTTTGCAGCCACATTTAAATTGAAAACTCTACAGAGCTCGCTCTGTGCCTCGCCTCGCGAACAGTCTCTGAGTGCTGCGAGCAGCGAGAAAGTGAAATCCGTAATCAGGCATCGGCAATCAGCAGCTGGATTGGGGCTTTGGACTTTGCCTGCCAGCTCATCGCAAACATTGACGCGGAGTGGCGCTACCCCACGGCTCCCCAGCAGCTGCTGCAAGTGGCTCTGATTGTGCTTGACCTGTCCCCCCAATGCCTGCCTGCTGCCAGCCCTGATAGAGCTACGCCACTGAGTCGCTGAGTCGCTGAGTCGCTGGCTATTGCTTTTAATTTGTGAATAACTTGGGAATTTGTAGGCTGCAGAGCTGACAGCTGAGAGATGGGTAGAGACTGCAGAAGAGTCTCTTGCCTATTGGCCTGGGCCTGTGGCTGCGCCTGTGCTGCTGTTTGGCTGGCTGCCGCACATTGTGGCATCTATTTTGTGCAGCTGCGGCAGTATTTCGCACAGCTTGCTGCGATAGCGAATGTCCCTGACCAGCGGATTGGCCTCCAGGTAGAGCGTGTGCAGCGCCCCGTTGGCCCGCAGCAGCGCCACCGACTGCCACTCCCCGATGGCGTTGTGGTTCAGCCAGAGCTCCTGCAGCTGCTGCAGCGCCTCCAGATTGGCCACGCAGCGCACCCGATTCTTGCCAATGTCGAGCGTCTCCAGCTGCCTGTTGCCACCGAGATTCTCGATCGTCTCGATGCCGTTCTCGGACAGATACAGCTCCCGGAGGCTGGTCAGCCTGTCGAGATTCTCGATGCGCACAATGCGATTCGCCTGCAGGCTGAGTATCTCCAGATGGACGAGCGTGTCCAGATTCTCCAGCCGCTCGATCCTGTTCTTGCCGAGAAACAATTGCCGCAGATTCACCAGCGACTCGATGTTCTCGATGCGCTTCAGCTTGTTGTCGCCCAGCTCCAGCATGGTGAGATTGGTGAGGGCGCCCAGCTGCTCCATCACCGCGATGCGATTGGCCACCAGATAGAGCTTCTCCAGCCGCACCAGCTTCTCCACATTCTGGATGTGGGTGAGGCGATTGAAGCTCACGTCGAGTATCTGCAGGTTGGTCAGCTCCTCCAGATTCTCGATGATCGCTATCTGATTGTCGTACAGCTCCAGCTCCACGAGCGTCTTCAGCGTCGACAGGTTCTCGATCTTCTTCACCAGATTCCAGCGCAGCGACAGCCGCCGGATGCGTCGCAGCGGCTCAAAGTGCTCCAGCCTCTCGATGCGGCGATGGCTCAGGTCCAGCTCAAACACCAGCGGGTCCTGCGTGATGGTCTCCTGGATCGAGGCAGTGCTCTCGGCCGCTATCACCACAACGCCCGTCGTCGTCGTGGGCTCAGCGCTCAGTGCTCGCTCCTCAGTGTCCATTTTTTGTATCAACACCTCAGCGCCTCAGCAACACAAGGCCTAAAGCTTGTCTCTAGTATTTTTTTGGCCACTAAAGCCAGAGCCCACTGGGGCATAGTTTTCTCTTCGACTCGTAGCTTGTGTTAGCCTCCCTCCTGCCTCAAGGCTTTCTTATCAAGTGCGCCCTCTCTCTCACTCTCTCACCCTCTCTGTCTCTCTCTCTTGCACGTGGCCTGGCTTTGGCTTGACGTCACTGGGCGCGCGATAAGCTAAGCGAGACCTTATCGGCTGTAGGCTGTAGGCTGAAGGCTGAAGGCTGTATGCCGCATGCTCTGCTCTGTGTGCTGCTTCTTTAGCTGAAAGCGGTCAATCAATCAATCAATCAATCAATTGAATCATCTCTGTACAGGCTGCGGGCACTGCCAGCTCTCTCTCTCTCATCGCTCAGCGCTCTGTGGCATTTCAGACCTTTAAAGGGCTTCTCCTGTCTCCTGCCTCCTGTCTCCTGTCGCCGGACTGATTCTCGTGAAAGCAATAAAAATTGCAGCGCCTGCTTCCATGTGAACCTGACCTGTTGCACAATTGAATGTGGAAGGGGAGTGGGCGGTGGGTAGGGGGCAACGCGCTGCTGCAGCTGAATCGAGTGGCAGCCAGTGGTCGTCGAATGCCCAAATGTCTGCCCTGCTCTGACCATTTACAGAGCCAACAATAAATTCTTCATGCAAGGCTGTGCCCCCCCCCCTGTCCCCCCTGTCCCCCCCCCCCCTGTTGACTGCTTTGCTGTTTTGCTGCCGCCTGGAGGCTTTTGGAAATGTTGCAGAAATTCCCAAGCCGGCGGCCATAAAAATGCGGCTCACATGTGACAACGATTTGTACTTTGGCTCCTTTTATGGCACTCAACTGTTGTTGCCACTGCCGTTTCCTCATCCTTCTGCTGCTGCTCCTTCCTTCTCCTTCCTTCGCCTGCCTCTCCTGCCTTCTCCTGCCTTCGCCTGCTGCTGCACAAGTCGCTGAACAAGTCGCAAAGTTGTGCCGGGCAAGTATCCAGACCAAGGGGATACCCACACAATAAACTGATTTCCGCTGGCTACAAAATGTGCAAAACACATGCGAAAAATAGGCACAAATTGCAGCCTATTTATGTCAGAGTTTTATGCCCATTAATGGGGTTTAATCTTTGTGCATTTAAAATATAAAATATATGTATATTTTTGGCATAGGTTTTTGCCACAAAAGTTTCACCAATTTAATCACACAAAAATAAAATAAATCTCAGAAGTTTCCCCAGCCATCATTTGGCTACAAAATAAATCCCCCCCTTACGCGTCGCCATTTGCGAGGTATACAAAAAATCCACCTCAGCTCCAGTGCTTACTCCTGCTGCTGCTGCTGCTGTCCCTCCTTCTGCTACTGCCCCTCCTTCTGCTCCAGCCCCTTCCTGCTCCTGCTCCTCCTCCTTCTGTGTGTTTGTGTGTGCAGCCTCCTCTGCCGCCCCATTCCGATTCCGATTCCGATTCCTTTGGCGATGCTTCGCTTTACAAATCTCAAAATCGCATCAGATTATACAAAGTTATGCGTGGCAGCGGGGGGAGCAGCAGGGGGGGGGGCAGTAGGGGGGGCTACTGTGACCATTATTGGTCATATGCCGTTTTGGGTTGGTTTTTTTTTTGTTTTTTGTTTTTTGTGGGTCAACGCCTCCTCCGTCGTTGCATTCTAAAATCCTCACACCACCACCCCCCCAAAAAAATCATAACCATAATCCAGCACGCCCCATCCTCCAGCCAGCCCACCCCGCACACCCAACCCCACACAGCCCACACAATTGGGTCAATTAACACTGACGACCCTTGAGGTTGATATCGCCTATCGCTGGAGAGGCTGTTGGCTGTTGGCTGCTGGCTGCTGGCTGTTGGCTGTGTCCTTCAGTTTTATGAACCGCTTTGATATGGTGAGTGATTCGCTCAGTTGCGATGATTATCATGTCACATGCCATGGCCCAAAACAATGGGGTGAGCACTTAAGAGAGTGCCTCAGAGAGCGCCGCACCCATCGCCCATCGCCTGCCCCCTCGTTGTACGCTCGGGGAATGTTAACAGTTTTCGTTTCATGTAATTAAGTGCTGCTGATCCACTAGTTTTTATCTTTAAGACTAGCTCTGAAAACGAAACGAAGCGAAAGGAAACGAACCGGACAGGACAGTGGACAGGGGACAGGGGATAGGGCATAGGGCACAGGACAGGATGAAAGGATGGCTGCAGCAGAGATAGGGAGTGAGTCAGAGGGAGGAGCAGTGAAAGCTTTTTGGCTTCTCTTCTCTTCATTCTGCGAAACAAAAGTAGGGTAGGAGGGGGTGGGGTGGTGTTGGGTGGGGGGCAACTTGTGTTTGCAAACTGTCTGGGCGAGACAACGTTGTACGTGCCGATGATGTCCGTTGTCCGTTGTCCGCCCAGTTCCAGTTCCAGTTCCTGTGCCCGAATGTCCTCAGCCAGAGCCACAGCCACAGCCACATTGAGCGTCCGAGCGAGCGTTGAGCTTCGCTTCCTTCTGCTGATTGCACTTCAGTCGGGCTCTCGGGGTGGCGTGCCCCCCCAAAAAAAATGTGTTAAGAGTCTAAACACGAACGTGCCGCTCAAAGGCCACTCGTTAACAGGCGCCGGGCAGGAGTTGAGAGGCGACAGCCGAGAGAGGTTCGATTCGTGTAGGAGGACAGGCACCCCATCCCACCCCCACCCCCACTCGTACATCTCTCTGCATCTTTCCACATATATCGGGGCATGGACAGCATCTATTGGTAAATATTTTTACTATTTGCGACAGGCCAAAAGATGAGCCAAAGGATGCAGCCAACCCCCGGACTGCCCCCAGGGGCAATGGCGAGCCAACCAAGCGCAACTAGCTTCATACTATCTTGGGATACCCAGGCACAGGGGCATATTGTCTGCGTTCAAATATAAGCTGCAGGTGGGAGGTGGACTTTGCTGCATAGGTGAAGGATTCTCACATCTGTGGAGCGCTGCAAAAATTATTTAAATTAAAATCTAAAGTTATTTATTTATTATTTATTTATTATTATTTATTTATTATTATTTATTTATTTATTATGTATTTATTTATTTATTATTTATTTATTATTTATTTATTTATTTACTATTATTTATTCATTATTTATATTATTTATTTATTTTTTATTATTTATTTATTCATTATTTATTTATTCATATCTATTTATTATTTATTTATTATTTATTCATTATTTATTCATTATTTATTCATTATTTATTTATTATTTATTTATTCATTATTTATTTAGTCATTATTTATTTACTATTTATTTATTTATTATTTATTATTTATTTATTTATTATTTATTTTTTATTATTTATTTATTTATTATTTATTTATTATTTATTCACGCCCAAAAACCTATCGCGAACTAGTGGATATCCCTCAGTTGATAGCCTTGCCTAAACTCTCACTTATTTTCGTTTATTTTTTGTTTGTTTTTTGTTTTTTCCCTGCTTGAGCCTTTTTGCAGGTGGCAGTGCCGCCGCCTGCCGCCTGCCGCCTGCCGTTGCAACAAACATCTTCAAGACGGCAATGTCTGCAGCCATTTCATTTCGTTGCTTATTTTATTGCCTGGTCCTGGTCCTGGTCCCGGGCACCAGACAACGACAGACAGTTGGCAAACAAACAGGGACAGGGACAGGCACAGGCACAGGCACAGGGACTGCGACAGGGAGCAAGGACCAAGGACTACAACGGTGACTGGGTTAGGCTATATCCTCAGCTAAGACATGTCTATATATATATATGTTATATATGTTTTTTTTTTTGGGCGGTCTTCATTACGAATGCGGCAGCAAAAATAAAAGCGAAATGCAATTCATTGCACAAGACATTCTCTGGTTTACTCTCTCTCTTTTTTTTCTTTCTCTTTCCCTTGAGCTGCAGCAGGAGCTGGAGCAGCACAAATATGTGTTTCGTGGATGTGCCAGGAGCTGCTGCTGCAGGTGTCGCTGAGGCATGCCATTCCTTGGCTCATGTCAGTGGCGCAGCTGACAGAGAATTGTCTCGACACTTTACGTTGCTCCATTAGCAGTTTCTCCATAGAGCTGCGAGACTAGAGCACGAATCAGTGCGGAATATATGCCTAAAAAAATCAGAATAAATCCAAATTGATGCAGGAATTAATTATAGTTCATTTATTATATATTTTTATATATTATATGATCTATTTGATATATTTAATATGGCTGGTATTAATTTTAAATCTTTGTTAAGCACCAAATTTTGTATACATTTTGCGTTAAACTTTCCGGCAGTTTTTTTTTTATAAATAAAAGTAAATGAGAAAAAAGACCTGCAAAGACACAAGAAATAAGTGAGTTTATGCTGAGCAAGGGATGCTCCATTATGTCCAAACAATTGAACCGAATCTGTAGCTGTATCTGTAGCTGTATCTGTATCTGAATCAGTATGCTGATGGTTCAGCCAAACCACTTTAATGGCGCCTTCGGGTTATGTTCTCTCCTGCACTATCTTTCATTCTGTTTGATTGACTTCTATGCATCCCCCCACACTCAACCGTTTGCAACGCGAGATGAAGTCTGTGCCCTGTGTGCAGCTCTGTGCATATATTTATGTGTACGTACTGCTCAGCCTGTGCATAGTTTACACATTGTCTGCCAGCAGCAGGCAGCCCTCCTGACAGACGCTGCCTCTGCCAGCAGGAGTACAAGGGGGCAGGAGCTGGTGTCTGCTGCATGTTATCCTTGCCATCCTTCCCCTGGCTGAGCTTTGGGTAAGCCGCGTCTAAATATCCTTTTTCTTCTCTGCCATTTTTACAGCTCATTCCGGGCGACACTCCTCGAGGAGTTGTTTGCGCATTGTTTACAGCTCGGTCTTTGTCCCTAAACAGACAAGACGCTGGCGCTGGCGCTGGCGGTGGGGGGTGGGGCACGGGGAGGTGCTGCCAGTCCTGAGCTTAATGCAGTCTGCAGTCTATATCCGTCGGTGGCTTTGCCAGCTCTCTCGGCGGCTGCTTCTCTGCTTACAGTTGGCCTGGCAAGTGGCAGGAATACAAATCAAATTAACCTCTTCATTTTCTCTCTCTCTTTCACTCTCTCT